CCTTCGCCGGCACCAGGAGGAGGGAGGAGGGCCTTGGCCATCCTCACACAGGTGTTTGGGTCATCATGAAGGCCCTAACATCTTCATCAACCTGTTCAGCGTGTTTCGACTTCAGGCTGGTCGCCGAGGCATCAGCAGGCCCGTAACATCGAACACTGTCTGAGGTATTGCCAAGCGATGGAAAGCCTTGCAGAACAGCCTAAATGGCACAGCCTGCTTCGGCTGTGGACAAACCTCCCTTTAGTAAACCTCCCATTAGTAAAAACGGTCTGGGACCGAAACCGACGGACCTGGGCCCGCAAAAATGACGGCCGCGACGCCCTCTCGCGAACCGAAAACGGCCAATCCCTTAATCGACGTGTCAGGGTAGGAGGTCTGTCCACCCCCGAAACATGTGGTTCATTCTGATATGGGCAGTCCCCGTGCAAGAGATGCAGCTGCCGCACCGACCTCGGGCCGTGGGTCGAGGAGAAGACGTGCTGCCTTTCCAGGGGTAGCACCCATGCTAACCAGCCTCGAACGTATCCCTATCCCTAAGATTAACAAGCCAAAAAGCGACGACAATCTTAGGGATGCGCCCTCAGAAACGGAGGGAATCCCTACGATCGGCATCGAGATGAGGCGATGCCAATCATAGGGACAGGGGTATGTTCCAGGCTGGTGGCGTGCTGTCACTCAACGAGCTCGAGGTTTGGGAAACGAATCGCGTGGCCGCGGCGAGCCTCGACCACGAACAAGGTCCCCGATCGGAATCTCTAACGCACGGCCGGAAAACCGGAGCTGCCCATGAGCCCAGTCATCAATATGTCAGCGTCTCGACGGCGAAAAACAAGAAACCTGTCAGCACCTCAAGGAGAGAAGGTAGAGGCACAGTGACCTCCAGTAGAGACACGGGGGGTGGAGGATGCATTGACTATCGATGCCGATCGCTGGTCCTCCTCCTCCGCCTCTCTCTCCCTCCATCTCTCTCCTCACTGTTCCTCCTCTCCCTCCTGCCTCCCTCCAACCTTCCCTCCTATTTCATCTTCCTCCTCCTCCTCTTCTCGCCTCCTCCTCCTGCTCCTCTGCATCCTCTTCATTCTACACCTCCTCCTCCTCCTCCTCCTCCTCCTCCTTCCCCTCCTCCTCCAATTTCCCCCTCCTCCTCATCCTCCGTGCGACTCCACTGCTCATCTCCTGCTTCTCTCCTGTTCTTCGTCCTCGTATCTCTTTCATTCCAGGCATCTCCCAACGCTTCAACCTCAAGTTGGACGCCCCCCTCCTCTGACAGCTTGGCCACTGTCTCCCTCAGGATTGCCTTGGGGCTGGGGGTGAAGGCCCCGCGTCCTCGCCGCGCGAGCTGTCTGGGTGTCTGGGTCACCCTCGTCTGCATCATCCCCCTCCTTACCTCCTGATTGCCTTTTCCTCCTCTCCCTCGTCTTCCTCCTCCCTTCTTCACTCCTTGCCATTACTTCATCCACCCTCTTCCACCTGCTTCCCCTCCCCCATCCCCTTCTCCCAGTCGTCCGCTCGAGTTTCTCCCAATACCATCCTCCTCGTTCCTACAGATACGATGGGGACTCTTGCTACAATACATGTTGGTGAACATTCTTCGTCGTTATGTATGGGTCCGAAAGTGCCACCGAGCTTCTATGGGTCCCTGGGCCATCGGGAAACACGGAATTCCAGCGGGGCAACTGCTGACAGGCCGACTTCTTCTTTGACGGGCTTACTGCATACCCCTCCTCACCAACATCACCACCATCATCATCGCCATCACCGTCAACACACTCGTCATCATCATCATCATCATCATCATCATCATCATCATCATCATCATCATCATCATCATCATCATCATCATCATCATCATCATAATCATCATCATCATCATCATCATCATCATCATCATCATCAGCATCAGCATCAGCATCAGCATCATCATCAGCAGCAGCATCAACATCATCATCAGCATCATCATCAGCATCATCAACATCATCATCATCGCCACCATCATCATAATCTTCGTTTGCGTCTTCTTCTTCACCATCACCATCCTCATCCGCAGACGCAGCAGTAGTATCGCAATCGGCGTCATCACCATCGCCATCACCAGTACTATCACCATCACCATCCTCAGTATCACCATTATCAACATCAGCAGCCGCAGAAGCATCAGCATCAACATCAGCATCACAATGACGATCATCAGCATCGGCATCAGTCGCAGCATCATCATCAGCATCAGCGTGATCATCATGGCCATCACCACCACCATCATCGTCATCATCAGCATCAGCATTTTCATCATCATCAGTTTCATCATCATCATCATCATCATCATCATCATCATCATCATCGTCGTCGTCGTCGTCGTCGTCGTCGTCGTCGTCACTAGCAGCACCATCCACATCACAATCACCACCACCACCATCCCTATCATCACCATCATTATCATCATCAATATTACCATCGCCATCGTCCTTATCCTTATCATCACGATCGCCATCACCATCAGCATCATACTCAGCATGATCACCATCATCATCATCATCATTACCTATACGACCACCCTTCGGGTGATAAGGAGGCTCGGGGGGGGAGGAACCAACGTCTCACTCGATCGGTCTCACTATCGATCTCACTATCGATCTCACTATCGGTCTCGCTCGATAGATCTCAATCGATCGATCTCACAATCGATCTCACTCGATCTATTTCATTCGATCGATCTCACAATCGATCTGACTATCGATCTCACAATCGATCTCACTATCGATCTCACTATCGATCTCACAATCGATCTCACATTCGGTCTCACTATCGATCTCTCTATCGCTATCACAATCGATCTCACAATCAACGTCATCATCATCAACATCATCGTCATCAACGTCATCAACATCATCATCATCGGAACACCATCATCATCATCACCACCTCATCACCATCATCAACATCATCATCGTCATCACTATTATCATCGACACCATCGGGACTCCAGCATCGTCACCATCATCATCATCATCATCATCAACATCATCATCATCGGGACACCATCATCATCATTCGTTATGGAACACCATTATAATCAACATCATTTCATCATCATCATCATGAACAAAATCATCAACATCATCATCACCGGGACATCATTATCATCATCGGCTACATCATCATCAGCATCATCATCATCATCATCGTGACACCATTATCAATGTCAACATCATCATCATCACCATCATCCTCATCATCATCATCGTCATCACCATCATCATCATCATCATCACCATCATCAACATCAACATCACCATCGGGCCACCATCATCAAAATCATCTTCATCATATCATCATCACCATCCACAACATCAACATCATCATCATAATCATCATCACCATTGGAACACCATCATCGTCATCATCATCATCGTCATCATCATCAATATCATCATCCGGACACCATCATCATCATCACCATCATCATCAACAGCATCATCATCCATCTCATCATCACAATCATCATCATCGGGACACCATCATCATCAACAACATCAGCATCATCAACATTACCATCACCGGGACACCATCACCATCACCACCATGGCCATCAGCATCACCATCATCATCATCAACATCGTCAACATCCTCATCATTATCGGGACACCATCATCATCACCACCATCACCATCACCATCATCATCATCATCATCATCATCATGACCGTCAACATCATCGACATCATCATGACCCTCATCAACATCGTCGGGACACCGACGGGAGACCATCATCATCATCATCATCATCACCATCATAATCATCTACAACATCATCATCATCAACCTCATCATCACCACATTAATCGGGACACCATCATCATCATCATCATCATCTTCATCATCAGCAACATCATTATCATCATCATCTCATCATCTCATCATCATCATCATCATCATCATCATCATCATCATTCGGATCATCAACACCATCATCATCATAATCGAAACACCATCATCATCATCATCATCATCAGCAAAATCAGCATCAGCATCATCATCATTATCATCATCATCGGGACACCATCATCATCACCACCATGGCCGTCATCATCACCATCATAATCAACATCGTCAACATCATCATCATCATCATCATCATCACCATCATAATCGGGACACCATCATCATCACCACCATCACCATCAGCATCATCATCATGATCAACTTCATCGACATCATCATCATCACCGTCATCATCATCATCGTCATCATCGTCATCATCGGGACACCGACGGGACACCCGCAGGACACCGGCGGGACACCGCGCGCCACTTGTTGCCGGAAGGGGGTCATTTGGTCCGTCCGCGCCTCAGCCAGTAGACTTTCCTCTCGCCCGCCCACGGAGCTTCGCCTCGCCCGCACGCACGGCACGCACGAACACGAAACCGAAATCGATTTCCCGGTATGGGGGCTCTCCGTTCCACTTCGATCTCACCCCCTCACCTCCGATCACAATACAATCATCATTATCAGTATTATGATCATAAAAATTATCATCACTAGCATCTCCTCATTATCATCCTCCTCATTCTTATCATTAAAATCATCAGTATCGTTATCATCTCCATCACCATTATCTTCATCATCGTGGCCATCACCATCACCATCATCACCATCACAATCACCGTCATCATTACCACTATCATCACCAGCATCACCGTCATCACCATCATCATCACCATGATCATCATCAGCATCATCATCCTCATGACCATCACCATCATCAGCATCGTCATCATCACAACCACCACCATCACCACCACCATCATCATCATCATCAGTATCAGCATCATCATCATCAGCATCAGCATCATCATCGTCGTCATCATCATCACCAACATCAGCAACATCATCGTCGCCATCATCATTATCATCATCCTCATCATCATCCTCATCCTCATCATCGCCAGCTTGGAGCTCCTGATGCATGCCTGCCAGGACGGCTCGGCCGCGCGCGCCGCTTTTCACGCGGGCCCCCCGGGTCTGAACGCCGGCGCCGTGCGCCGACCGCCGCCGCCTGCGGCCGCTGCTCTCCCACCACCGGCCTCGTCGTTTGGGCTGACTCTGCCCGTATACGCTGGGCCCAGGACCTGGGAGGGGGGAGGCCTGCATTCGAGGAACCTTCAGACACCCAGAACAGGAGCAGGAGGAGAAAAGGAGGAGGAGGAGGAGTACGAGGGGGCGTCCCTGCCATCCCCCCCGTTCTCCTGCACCCCGCCTCACCGCCTGGCGGCTTCCGCGGCCAGGGGTGCTGCGAGGGGGGGGGTCCTCTGGGGAAGGTATGGGGGTGGCCCTCTCCGAAGAGGATGCGGGATCCTGCAGCCCTCGACGGGGGCATGGGGCATGCTCTCAAAGGCTCAAAGCGAATTGTGAGGTCTGGGTTCATCTTTGGTGCTCTGGGATTTGGTGGCATTGCGTGCGACGCACTTTTTGGCGCCCCCTCTCCAATGTGGGTCAACGTGGGAACCCCTAGTCGATAGCGCCAGCCCAGACTCCGCTTCGCTCTGGTTCGACACAAAGGGGGGCGACATTCCGTGGGCGTGTCGGGCGCTTTGCCCCAAGCAGCGCTTGCACTTAGAGGTTCTTGAATTTTCCGATCTAAAGATGATGTGTGTATGTGGTGTGCGTGTGTGTGTGTGTGCGTGTGTGTGTGTGTGTGTGTGTGCGTGTGTGTGTGTGTGTGTGTGTGTGTGTGTGTGCGTGTGCGTGTGCGTTTGCGTGTGTGTGTGTGTGTGTGTGTGCGTTTGCGTGTGCGTGTGTGTGTGTGTGCGTGTGTGTCGGGGTTTCGGCTGGTGGCCCGTTGGTGAGCGCCCGTGGGCGCCTCGTGGGCGCGCCCCGCGCCTGGGCGTCGGGGTTCCGGCTGTGCCCGCCCGCACCTCGCGGGCGCTCCGCGCGGGCGCCCCGCGGGGGGGGGCCGGGTGCCGGGTGCCGGCTCCGGGTGCCGGCTCCCCGGCGCCTCGTGGGCGCCCCGCGCTGGGGGGGGGGGCATGCCGAGGTCTCGCCTGGTGCCCTCCTGAGCGCCCCGGTGGCTTTCACCACGTCGTAGCTTGAACCACATAGCGTGCACCACATAGTGGGCACAACATAGCCTGCACCGTGTGTATATATATATATACACGTATGCGTATGCATACGTATGTCTAGATGGTGTGCGTGCGTTGTGCGTGTGCATCTTGTATATTGCGCCACGTAGATTGTGCCTCGTAGCGTGCGCGGCATAGCGTGTGCCACATAGTTTGGACCACATAGCTTACACCAAATAGCTTGCATCACTTATAATACAACACATAGCTTGCACCACATAACCTGCGCCACGCTTAGACCACGTAGCTTACACCACATGTTAGCACCTCATACCAAACACCTGCAAACTGGGCGTTAGTAAACGGGGCGGTAATTCAGGGGCCTCGACAAGCGAGAACGGGGTGACGGGACAGTTACCACCACTAGTGCGTGATATGTCGGGACGACAAAATCGTAGATATGTCATCAAAATTTTGGGCGGGGGTCTACCTCGTACGAGTGCGCGGCAAATCAATGCTTGAAAACATCATTGAACACGCACCCTTAGCTACCGACCCGTTCATTAACGCCCCGTTTGCAGGAGCTTGGTCATAGCTTGCGTATCCACAATGCAACCAAAATACTGTTTGGGGTCCACGCTGGCTAGCATTGACGTTGTTTGTACCGAGAGTGTCAAAGAAAAACCTGCAAGTGGGGGCTCCTGAGAAGCCCATTCTTCCTTACCAAGATGCCAACCCACTCGCGTGACCCCTTCGGTTCGCGGAGATCCCGGAGATCCCCAGGGGTCCCTCCATAGGCGCCAGGAAGCCTCCGGAGTCGGCACCACAAGCAAAGCCACTAGCACCGCCAGAAAACACACCTCTCGATACTCGATCCTCCTCCCCCCGCCCTCCATAGTGTATCCTCCCCCTCGATCCTCGATCCTCAGCGTGGGTGCGATCAGAACGAAGTACCCTCGGTGAGGTGTGGCGGTGACGACGATCCCAGAAGCCGCATGCACAAAAACCCAGCTCTTGCGTTCCGAGTTGGGCAGGAGGCACACTGCGCTTTGGTATGTTCGGCCTCCCCTAAATCTACCACTGCTGTTCTCGCGCTCGCCCCCTCATCCCCCTTCACCCGTTACCAGCCCCGAGCCCAGTGTCCACTATGTAATACCTCTCGATTGCTCCTCCCCCTCATTGCTTCCCTCCCTCCTCCTGATTCCTGATTCCTAGAGGCATGATAATCCGACGGATGGTGCACTCCCCTCTCCTCCTTCTCGCCCTCCTCCTCTACAGGTCCTCCTGGCCACTCCCCCACTGCTTCCCTCGCTCCTCCTCCTCCTCCTCCACCTCCTCCTCCTCCAACTCCAACTCCAACTCCAACTCCAACTCCAACTCCAACTCCAACCCCAACTCCTTCTCCTCCTTCTCCTCCTCCTCCGCCTCCCCCTCCTCTTCCTCCTCGACAGGTCCTCCTGGCCATTCCCCTACTGCTTCCCTCGCTCCTGCTCCAATTCCTCCTCCTCCTCCTCCTGATCCGCCTCCTGATCCTCGTTATTAATTCCCCCCTCCCTCCTCCGTCCTCCTCCTCCTCCTCTTCCTCCTCCTCCTCCTGCTCACCACTGCTGCTGATCGCCCCTCCCTTCCTCCCGCCCTCCCACTCCCCCGCCCCTCCTTCCGTTCGTCCCCCCTCCTCATCCTCTCAAGGCATCGCCCCCCCCCTGGGGAAACCAAAAGGTATCGATACTGCTACTCCCTAGACGTCTCCAAGGGTGCGCTCTGACCAGAAAGTCGAGGCGAACCCAGCCGCGGCGACGAGGGCCTCCCAGGAGGCCCACCAGATGCGAAAGCGGGGCAAAAAGGCAGCAGTATCCATCGGTCGGAAGAAGTAGGTAGAAACATGAAGTAGGCAGGCGTTGAACATAAATTGGGTTCCGTCCGCCCCCTAAGGACGACGGAAAAGGTGGAGCCACCGATCATTGAAGCAGGAAGGCGCTTAAAGTGGATTGGAATGTTGGAACCCAAGAATTCCTACTTTCAACGACCGATGGGTTCTGCGTGTACCTTTTCCTCCTAGCTCTCTCTCTCTCTATCTTTCTCTCTCTATCTCTCTCTCTCTCTCTGTCTCTCTCCCACCCTCCGCCGCACCCTGCCGGTGCCCCCCAACCCCCTCCGCCGCACTTCGCCCGCGGCTGCGCGGCGCCCGCTTCCAGCTGCCTAGGGCAGCAGCGCGAGGCTTCTCGCGCGAATCGCCGCCAAGGTCCCCCACCGACGGGGTCACCTGGGCGGCGCCCAGGGTAGGGTCACGGGCACGTGCCGACGACAACGGCGGCAACGGCGACGAAGAGGGCGACGGCGGTGACAACGTCGCCGACGGCGGCGACCGCCGACAGCGGCGACGGCAGCGACGGCGACGGCGGCGGCGAGGGCGAGGCGAGCGGCGACGACGGCGGAGGTCAAGGAGGGAAGAGGATCGAGGATGGAGGAGGGACGAGAGAAAGGGAAACTGGGGAATGAGGGAGAGGAATGGGATCGAGGACAAGGCGAGAATGACGAGAGTCTGTCTAGATTTTGGTTCCCGCGAGAATACCTGACGCGAGACAGGGAAGGCGAACGAGGAGCGGGGGGAAGCCCAGACGGAACGAGGGCCCCCCCGAGACCCAGCGGGGCTTCCGCTCAAAATCAGACGTGCGCCAATCGATGGACCATTGCTGGTGGGACAAAGAATGAACGGGGACAATCGGGTGCCCGCGTCGCTCCAGGCCTGGCCGTTTCGATGGATGGATTTTCGAACTGGTGTCGTATGCAAAACATGCCGATTGCAATCCGTCGGTGCGCGAAGCGCTGCCTGAGGCATGGCCCAAAAATGGGCGGGACGCTATACTGCACGCTTGGCGGTGGCCGAACGGCGTCTCGTGCAAATTTTTGCACTTGGGTGAGAAAGGAAAAGCACGACAAAACATGCACTTTGGGAGTTCTGCGCGGATTTCCTGGATCGGCGCTGGACCCCACTCACTGGCGCGCAGAACGCGCCAAGGGCAGCGCCGGAGGTGCCGCCAGGGGCCCAGGGGCCCAGGCGCCGATGGAAGATATCGGCGCGGAGCGCCGAACATTTCTTTGTGCCCGTGTAGTTGTTTTGGTGAATTGGGCCCTACCCCTTGGCGGCGCGCACAACGAGGTGGAGGGATGGGGGGAGGCTTGTTAGAAGGAGGCTGTTTCGTCGAGGGCCGTGGCCATAGAACTATAGACAACGCCCGCGCATTATTAAAAACAACTTGTTTCCATGAAGCCCTCCCTGGCGAGACAAAATGGTACCGATACACGTAATCCCCGGGCCTTTCCGTGGGTGCTTGCTGCCAAGAGCTTTGAAGTGAATCCAGCGGTGGCGACGAGGGCCCCCCAGGCGGCCCCAAAAAGGAAAACGAGCGAAGGGTAACGGTGTGGGCGCCTTTTCCTCTTGCGACCCCTCTTTCCCTCCACCCCCATCTGCGCGTGGCCGAACCCCGCATCCAGGTTCGTGAAGGCCTGCGAGCTTCCAGCGCGCCTGCGCTTCCTGTGCAGGGGCGCCGCAACGAAAACGGCCCTTCAAAGAGCCTCAGCGTGGCCCCAAAAACGCTCCGAGACAGCACGGCCAAAAGCAGACCGCGTGTCAACGCCATCGTGCGCTCTTTCACCGAAATTTGAAGGGGCCCCAGGACACACAAATACATACACACTCAAATTCGCCGGCCCAACGGGCCAGGGCGTGCTAAGATCTCCGGTACCTGGTTAACAGTATTTCTAGTTCGCGCGCGCGGGGCGGCCCCTGGGGGTCCCCGGACGAAAAGTACCCCGGCAAGGTCCCGGCAAGTCCCCGGCAAGGTCGGGCCAGAGATGCCGGAGTTCTGTCACAGGGCCCCAGGACGGGCCAAGAGGTCCCCAAGAAGCCTCCAAGACGGTCCAAGAGGGCCCCGAGACGGCCAAAGATCGCCCGAAGACGCCCAACAGGGCCCCAAGACAGCCCAAGAGGCCTCCAAGACGCCCCAAGGGCCTTCCAAGAGGCCTCCGAAGAGGGCCCCAAGAGGCCAAAATCGTTGATTTTCATGTTTTTTTCTATGTTTTTTGCGTTCTGGCTTTTTCGGCTTCCGGACGCTCCAAGACGGCCCAAGAGGCCCCCAAGACCGCTCCAAGACGGCCCACGAGGCTCCCAAGACGGCCCTGGAACGGCCCAGGAGGGCCCCCAAGACGGCCCAAGTGCCGCCCAAGACGGACCAAGAGGCCCCAAGACGGGCCCAAGAGGGGCTCAAGAGGGGAACCGAGAACTGAAAAATCGAGCCCTCCGCCCCAGAAGGCGCCCAGGAGGCCCCAAAAAGGCCCCAAGAGGCCCCCAAGAGGCCCCCAAGACGCCCCAAGAGGCGCCCAAGAGGCCCAAAAGAGGCCCCAAGAGGCCCCAAAACGGCCCCCAAGAGGCCCCAAAACTCGGCTAGCCCACAACGGTGCGACAATATGGGCCGGCGGAATGAGCGAAGCGATTAATAAAACGATTCCCTGAATTTTCCCATACTTTCTGGGTTTCTGTCTCCCCCCCGCTGCCAATATCTTCCCATATTTCTGGGGAATCGACGATTAATTGTGTCTGTGTTTTTTTTCCTTCCTGAAAGGTCCTGGACACGACGCAAGCTGTGCGACGAGGGCCGCCACCGGCTGCGCGCTGCCGGCGGGGCTATGCGGGGCAAGGACATGCTGCGCCGCAGCGCGGCGGAGACTGCCCGCGCGATCATTCAGCAGGGCGGGTGACAGCAATGCGAAGGGTCCTGGATGCAAGAAAAGAAGAAACGTACTACGAATGGTGAGACGAAAAAACGCAACGATTGTAATCTAATCGTACGAGTAGTAATGAAAGCAGTAATACATATTCGTAGACAGTGTACGAATCATGATAAATGATCAACTTATCAATCATAGTATTTACACAAATAACAGCAATAATAATAACAAGAGGAATAATAGCAATACAAATCAACATTGGAAGTACAATTCATGAAAATACACCTGGAATAATTAGACGAACCAGAACAACCAACAGCAATTATTACTCATAGGAATAATCATACTAGTACAAGAACGATAACAAAACAAGCGCCGAGGGGTGAGAAAGGCGGCCGCTAGAAATGGAAAAGAGGGGGGCAAGCGCGCTCACGCGGCGGGGACCGCAGCGGGGCGCTGGGGGCGGCCGAACCGGTGCAGCACCCCCGGCAGCGGACGCGGGGCGGCGCAGGGCAGCGGAACACGGCAAACACACATTGGGCCACAGTAGGGGGCTCGACCAATAGAAACCCTCGCAAATAAACCCAGACTTGCGGGCGCAGACCTGAGGGCCTCGGAGCCTTTCCCCTGAAATGCTACCCCCAAGACTCCCAGCATGCCCGCCGGATGCACCCAGAGGCGCACAAGAAGCCTCCCAAAGACGAGGCTGGGGTTGGCCGAAAGCCACCAAGACACCCCGAAGAAGCATCCAGGTGACCCCCCCGCAGCACAGCTGGCGTACGCGCGGCGTCGCGACTCTCGATGCTGCGCGCCGCTTCGCCGAACTCCCAGGGAGTGGGCGGCGATGCGCCGCTGGCGTGCTAGATGCACGTGTACAGTGGAGGCCAGTCCACAAGAAACCTTCCGCCAGGAACTCATCCCTGAGACCCCAGGATGTGCATTGACTTCAGGTGTGGGAACGCACGCAATCCAGGGCACCCTGGGGTCAGGCAGGGTGTTTCTTGGCATGGGTCTCCCCTGCAGATGTCCGCGCGGAAATCTTGCGTCGGCACTGGGTCGGAGGAGGAGGAGGAGGAGGAGGAGGAGGAGGAGGGGGGAGGAGGAGGAGGAGGAGGAGGAGGAGGAGGAGGAGGAGGAGGAGGAGAGGAGGAGGAGGAGGAGGAGGAGGAGGAGGAGGAGGACCATCCGCGGGCGCGAAGCGCGCCGGGGGCGGCTCCGGAGGCGCCGCCAGGGGGGAGCCCAGCGCCGCCCCAAGGAGAAATCCGCTCGGACCTCCGGAATTGCGAGCGATGCACGTGCAGCTGTTTGAAGGGGAACTGGAACACACAAATAAATACACACAAATAAAAAGATCCCCCATAGTTTCCCATATTTTCTGGGTTGTTGTCTTCCCCACCACTTCCCATATTTTTGCATATTTTCCTGGGAGTCGACGATGAATTGTGTCTGTGTGTTTCTTTCCCTCCTGACTGTTGTCCTCCTCAAGAGAAGGGGATAGGAAAGATGAAGAGGGAGCGTCCCGGAACGCTCTGAAAGCGCTCCAGAACGCTCTGGAACGGACTGCTCTCAGTCCTAGCCCCGTCCGAGTTCGGGGTCTGCCAAGACGGGGGCCGGCCAAGGGGGGTGCGCGAATCATGGCCAGCGGCACGAGCGCAGCCCAGGAGGGACGTAGTGAAATAAGGAGAGGCGCATCGAAATCTGAGGAAGCATCATGGCCCACGCCACGATATCCCCCCCACCCCAGTCTTCACTCCCCTCTTGGCCGCCCCCGACGAATGCCCACCTCCTGCTCCTCCTCCTCCTCCTCCTCCTCCTCCTCCTCCTCCTCCTCCTCCTCCTCCTGCTCCTCCGCCTCCTCCTCCTCCTGCTCCTCCTCCTTCTCCCCCTCTTCCTGCCCCTCCTCCTCCTCCTCCTCCTCCTCCTCCTCCTAGCCCCGTCCGATTGCCCCTCGATCCTCCCCCCCGTCGGTGCGGAAGCGGCTCACGTCCGCTCGACGTTCTCTGGCTTGACGCTCACCGGCTCGTCGTCCACGACCACGGTGACCCTGCCGCCGGCGTCCTGCCCCGCGGCAGTCCGCACGACGCCCTCCTTGCCGTTGAGGTCGACGCGCTTCTGCGGGTGAGGACTCCTCCTCACTCCACCTCCTTTCCTTCTCCTCCTGCTCCTCCTCCTCCTCCTCCTCTCTCTCCTCTTCCTCTCCTCCCCCTCCTCCTCCTCACTCCTCCTCCTCCTCCTCCTCCGCCTGCTCCTCCTCCTCCTCCTCCTCCTCCTCCTCCTCCTCCTCCTACTCCTACTCCTCCTCACTCCTCTCCTCCTCCTCCTCCTTTTCCTCCTCCTCCTCACCCTCCTCCTCCTCCGCCTCCTCACTCCTCCTCCTCCTCCTCCGCCTCCTCCTCCTCCTCCTCCTCCTCCTCCTCCTCCTCCTCCTCCTCCACCTCCTCCACCTCTTTCCCTTCAAAATAAGCCGTCGCTGTCGCATCCCCAGACGTCTCGGCAGGGCGGACCGGGCGTTTCGGCGGCGACTCCCACACCACTTGTTATCTCGAACTTCAATCTTGCAACAGCTTCACGGGTGGAGGGCGGGCGGTTTTAAACATGTGGCTCTCGCATCAGCGCCGAGCACATTCGCCTGGCTCTCTCTCCTTAGCGCCGAGCACATGCATCTTAGAAGTTTGAATCAATGTTGCGGCTGGAGGGGGTCTTTCCAAAATGGTGTTTTTGCTTCAGCGCAACGCCCATTCGTCTCAACAGCTGGCAACAGTTTCAAGAATGGAGGGCCGTTCCTATTAACATGTGGTAATCGCCTTACTTAGACTTGGCGCAGCGACCATTCGTCTTACAAGGCTGCAGCAATTTCGAAGGTCGAGGGCAGCTCATTTTTATGTGGTTATCGCCTTGGCACCGCGCGCTTTCGCATTCAGACTTTGCAACACTCTCTGTCATCCGCGCGGATGTAGTCCCAGCACTGGCGTGCTGGTATGCTTTAAGACTCTCAGGTCGCAGACGTGCCGCTGGCTCGTGGCACGAGGAGTCCCAGGAACGGCGCTCTGGCACGATTTAGTAGCTCGTCAGGACGAGGCAGTCACGTTGAACCGCGGCGCTTAAGTCCAACGAATTGCAGTCTGGAGCGATTGGGGATTCTCAGGCGGTTGCCTTGCAGAGGGACGTTACCCGCAATGAGGATCAATAATTGCAGAGGCCTGTAAAGAGGGAGCATGGAGGGAGGGTTTGTTACAACATCGTTGATGCTTCTTGGCTTTGCACTGGTCCTCCTCCTCCTCCTCCTCCTCAACCTCCTTCTCCTCCTCCTTCTCCGACCCCCTTCCGCCCCATCCCGCCCCCTCCCTCCGCCTGACCGCATCCTCACCCATCCTCCTACCCCCATCACTGTTATCCCTCCTGTTTCTCCTCTTTTTCCTTCTCCCTCCTGCCTCCTCCTCTTCCTCCTCCTCCTCCTCCTCCTCCTCATCCACCTGCTCTCCCGCAAGCCTGCAATGGGGGAGGGGAGAAAGGGATGGAGCTTCGAAAACCTAGAGGTCGGGGTAGTATTGGCCCTCCTCGGCCCTCCAGAGAAACCTTTAGGGGCATGGGCTGGGCAGGGGCGGGGGGAGCAGCGGAGAGGGGCGAGGGTTGAGAGGATGTGGACGGGGGCCCATTGGTAGAGATGGGAGCGTGGAAGGTGGGCTGGAGGTTGTATCGGAAGCTGGGCGAAGGCTGCTAAAACCGAGGCTGCTAAAACGGCCCTCCCGGAACAAAAAAAAAAAAACTTCCCGGAATGAGGCGCGGCACGCGAAACAGTCAACGGGCTTCTTCCCGGAAGGACTAAGACGACTTCCCGGAGGTCGATTTCAGCAGCCGCGGATTGCCCTTGCCCGGCTTCCGATTGTAGAGGGCAGAGTAGGGGGCGGGGGGGGGAGTGGACAACGGGCCACTCGCGCTGCACCCGACTTCCTGCCCCTCCAACCCGTCCTCTTCCCACTGCGCGGCCTCCGGAGAGAAGACGAGGGAGGCCGCGAGGAGAAAGGGGATAAGGGGGGGCGGGGAAGGGGACAAAGGGGGAAGGAGCAGGGTGGGAAGCGAGGGTGAAGGGGACAAGGGGGAGGTGACGTGGAGGGAGAAGTGGGGGAGGGGGAGGCGAGGGCGGAGGCAGGGGGGAGGGCGGGCGCGAGGGAGGAGCGAGAGAGAGGCAAAGGCTGCTCCTGGAGGCCGAGGAGCCTCACCGCGGCGCCCTCCTCGAGGGCGGCGGTGGCCTGGGCGGTGGTGCGGGGCCGCCCCTTCAAGGGGGGAGGGGGGCGGCGATGATGGAGAGGGAAGCCGTTTTTTTATTCGTTGGGTTCGAGTTAAATCGGGCCTGTCCCCCTACAGGGGGATTTTGGACGAAACATAGAGCAAATAACACATAGTCAAAAAATGCCCCCAAAATATGCAAACATGGTAAAACATCGTCCCAAGACTCTCTTCTGACCGTTTTTGAATGTTCCCCCGGTAGAGGGACAGGCCCGACTCAGGGTTAGAGTCAAGCGCTACTTCCCTTGACATGGGGCCCGGGCGCACACACACACACACACTCACACACACTCACACACAAAACACACACACACACAACACACACGCAACACACACGCAACACACAACACACACAAAAACAGACACACGAGTCGCAGGGTTCCCCGTCGTTTCCCCTACGCTTTGGGTGCTCGTCTTCCCCCCCCGGTTCCCCATCTCTTCCCACATATTTCCCCACATAGTTTCCCCATCTCTTCCCCATCTCTTCCCCATCTCCTCCCCATCTCCTCCCACACATGTTCCCACACATGTTCCCCATCTCTTCCCACACATTTCCCCAGGGGTCGACGACTCAGCGCGTCGGTGTGCTTTCTCCCCTCCCGACACTTGCGCTGCGGCGCACGGCGACGACTGGGGACCGAGCGAGGGCCCCAGAGGGCGAGCGGAGTGAGGGCCAGGGAGCGGCTCCACGGCGGGGGGGGGGGAGGGAAGGAAGGCCCCAGACGGGCGTTGGCAGAACCGGGTTTGGTGGAACCTGGTTTAATGATCTGTACCGGGGGCGCCCCCCCGTCCCATTTCCACTAACCAGAACTGCCGTCACCCGAAAAAACACCAGCTATGGCAAACCTGGTTTAGAGATTCTGGCCAATTCAAAAGCTCTGGGGCCCTACCACTGACCGGGTCCCCTTGCCTGGGGTCCTGGCCATCCCCGACCCAGACCAACTCGCGTGGTGGCACAAATGACGACGGGTGGTGCTCCGCTATTTTCGGCTTCTGGGAGCCCTCGCTGGGCATCGGGACCGTCGAAGAGCGACTCAGGGTGAGACGCCGGTCCCGGGGGAGAGGTCCAGACCTCTGGGGGTCGACGTTGTGAGAAAGTCACGACGTCCGGAGTCTGGGATCGAGGATGGGCGGGGGGAAGGGGTGGGACTACAACGAATCGCGTCGCTGGCGCATGCTCTGGTCTCTGCTGGGCCCGGGGCGGGGCAAAGCAGCCCGGCCCAGCGAGGGAGGGAGATCTCGCCCAGTAGAGCACGCCTGCGACGGTGGTCTGGACGAAGAGAACAATCCCACCCCCAGGGGAAACCTTGGCCCCGCTGGGCAAACTACCCCCCGGGGGGTGGGGACGGATGCCGTGCCGTCTCCTGCGAGCTTCGGAGCACCCATCCTCGAGGGGGCACGCTGGGACAACCCACTTCCCCTGCCCCGGTGGGGGGCGGGGATGGCTCCGTCCACCCACCTGGAGGAGGGAAAGGGGGGGGAGCAAAGTGGAGTGGGTCGCCTCCCTCCCATGTCCCCCCTCCTTCTCCTTCACGCGTGCCTCGTCAGAATAGTTTAAGGAGTTGAGGGGGGACCAAGAGGGCTCCAACATGGCTCGTCAACGAAGGACATCATGGGAACATAGTCATCGTATTTCTCATATTTGTTCTCCGCCGACGCATGTTAACCGCTCGTTCCAACTGACCATCATCATCATCATCAGCATCATCATCAGCATTAGCATAATCATCATCATCATCATCATCATCATCATCATCATCATCATCATCACCATCACCATCACCATCACCATCACCATCACCATCACCATCATCATCATCATCATCATCATCATCATCATCATCATCATCATCATCATCATCATCATCATCATCGCCACCACCAGCATCATCTTTACCTTCATCATAATCATCAGCAGCATCATCAGCATCACCATGCTGCATGCTAATCCTCATCCTCATCCTCATCCTCATCCTCATCCTCATCCTCATCCTCATCCTCATCCTCATCATCATCAACAGTATCATCATCTTTGGCGTCACCACCATCAAGTTCACACTCACAATCATCATCATCTTCACATCCAACAAAATCATCAGCATCATTGTCATCATCACCATCATCATCTACACCCTCCTCCTCCTCCTCCTCATCACAATAACCATCACCATCACCATCACCATCATCACCATCATCAGCATCACAAGCATCACCATCACCATTGTCATCATCATCATCATCATCATCATCATCATCATCATCATCACCAACCATTAACACCTTCATCATCATCATCATCATCATCATCACCACCACCAGCAACAACATCAACATCATTAAAATCCTTACTTGTATCCGTTTCCTCTCTCTCATCCTCATTCGGATCCTCCTCACACTCAGCATCATCATCATAATCACCCTCCTCATCATCATCGTGATGAAACTCGTCCTCCTCCACTCCCACTTCCAATCCTTCCACCTGTTCCTCCTCATCATCAATATGATCATCCGGTCCTCCTTCGCAGCATGACAAAGAGCAGGATCACGATTTGGACGGAGAACACCTGAGAACCAACATGTACACTTCACAAGACTTATCGTTTTGAGGCGGCTTCGGTATTCATGGGGTCTCGCCTGGAGCATTCGGACACTCTTTGATCCCCAGAGGCAAGGTCAGAATCTCGCCCCAGCACTTACTTCGGCACACCCATCTGATGTATCGTGCCCCACAGGCAGGAGAGCCCATAATCGAATCGACAAGTCGAATCGGCGATCGAAATGAATCGAATCGGCGGAAATCGGCAACCAAGTCGGGAGGAGTCGAATCGGCAGAAATCGGCAGAGTAGTACGGCCTCAGGGAGGAATCGGAATCCAAATCGCAATCCGAAATCGAATCGAATCGGAATCGGAATCCATCGAGATCGAACCGAATCGAATCGGGGGAATCGAAACGAGCCCTGCACAGGGCGCTTCATATACAGCTGCAGAGATGAAGTTCTCGTAGCGCCGCCCGCCCTGTCCGGTGCGCGCCTCACACGGATCGTGCACCACAGGGAGCACCGTCCACGGCCCCAGAGACGAGGCTCGCACAGCAGATTCCCGCCAAAGTCTGCACACCCCTCACGCGGACCGTGCCCCGGAGGGAGCTCTGCCCCAGTGGGCAACTTCGCGTGGCGTCCCCCCCGCCCAATTCGGCGAATGCATCACACATCACACGGATCGCGCCCCGCAAGGAGCTCCCCCTACGGCCTCGCGGGGGCGTCCGGTTTATCTGGCACTCCCTTCACGCGGATCGTGCCCTTCACAAGGGGTTCGGCGCACCTGTGCACGCTTGCTCCGAAAGGCTATGCCACTCCAGAGACGCTTGCGTCAGGAATCGTAGCTGGACGACCATCCGTCCTGGGAGGTGAAAAGCCGCTGTACGCACAGCGACTAGGCGTTGCGGAGCGTTTTGGGACTCAAGAGGGCCTTCCCTGACGAAACGTCAGAGTCAGGGGGCCGAACGGTCATTGACGGTCCCTGGGCGCGTGCCCAAAGTGGGGTCATGCGGTGCGGATTGCTGCTGTTGTTGCTGCTGTTGTTTGTTGTCAGCGTCCTGGCCTGCGACCCGCCCGCGACCCGCCCGCGACCCACCCGCGACTCACCCCGACACCCGCGACCACCCCGCGACCCACCCGCGACCCACCCGCGAGACACCCGCGACCCACCCATGACCCGCCTGCGACCCGCCCGCGACCCACCCGCGACCTTTCACGCGCCCGCCCCCTCATTCTTATCCGCGGCTGCGGGATGCTACATATGGTTCGGGACGACCATCGAAACCTGGGAAATACGCTCCACGAAGAGCGCCAGAAGTGCAACATGTCTTTCTTGGCCTCCAGAGCCCTCTGCTTGAGGAGACACAGGAGGCCGAGCCGAAGGATTTGGGCTTCCTGGGGGCTTGGGGCCCTCCAGCTGGGAGCCATCTTGAGCTGTCTTGGCCCTGGAGGCCATGTTGGGCCGTCCTGGCGGCCTCGAGGGCCGTCTTGAAGCCATCTTCGGCCGTCCCCGGGCCATCTTGGAAGGTCCCGGGGGTCCCTGGGGCGCTACTGGCCCGTCTGAAGCTACCAGAAGCCGTCTTGGGGGCACTCTAGGTGGCTCTGGGCCCGTCATGGGAGACTCTGCGGCGCTTTGGAGGCCGTCTTGTGACCTTGTGGGGCTCCTCGTGGGCAAACTTGGACAATTTGACGACCATCCGCAAGCTTCAGAAGCCCATCGGAAGCGGAAAAGAGAGATCTTCAAGAAAACATGGGTTCCACATGGTACTCTGATTTGGGCATCTTGGGGCTCACTGGAAACCGTCTTGGAGCCAGAATCCGGGTAAAAAGATATACGGAGTGCGCCTCTCGGGGCCCTTTCGCGGGCCCTGTTGGCGACGTTCGCGCGGTGCTTGGGGTTCCATCTGGCCAGCCTGTGGCCATCTGGGAGCCTCTTTGGCCATGTTGGTCCGTCTTGGCGGCCCTTTTGCGTCCCCGGGGGCCGTCCTGGAGGCCCCTAGGGGCCTGGCTCATCGCTCGGAGCGCTGAAAAGGGCCCACCGGTCCCAGTGCCCACGTAGAACTGGTGCGGGGTGGGTGGTGGATTTTGAGAGGAGTGGGGGCCATGGGGGGGCCAGAGACTCGATCGCCAGCTATCTATCTATACATAGATATACATACACATACCTGCATGCGTGCATGCATACACATATGCAGACATACCTGCACATATGCATGCATGAATACCGACCTACCTACCCACCTACCTACCCTACCTACCTACCTACAAACATGCATGCATACATACATGCATGCATGCATACATACGTGCATACACGCATACACGCATGCATACACACATCCAGACACACATACACACATACATCCATCCATCCATGCATGCACACGTTCATGAACACCTACACACATGCATACATACATACATA